GAGATAAATTAGATATCGTAAAAATAGATGACAGATGAAAGACGGTTAAAAATAATTAAATCTCACTTAATCGGTCATTAGTATGCTACTATTTTCGAAACATGCACAAGATATCATATCTCTGTGATACATTGATGACTTAATTATTTAAATCTTTTCAAGCGAGACTAAAATCCAGACCTCACGTATTTATGAAACCATTCTTCCAACTCGTCTTTCTCGTAAGAATTTTACGATATCGTAGAAAATCGTTGCGATGATGTCAGTCGATTGACACACCTCCGTTACTCCTACAACTACTTCATTCATTATTTCCTCTGTCTGAGAGGCATTCACTATTCGCATCGATCGTTGCACGCGGCATAACGAATGCACTTATTCACCGATGTGTTACGATTCAAACGAATATAAGGACATGGGCCTCCCAAAGCGGTGCCTCCTTTAGCATTATTTTGCCGTTTAAGTGGAAATTACTCTTATCTCGACATTGGATTTTATTATTGACACGTGTGTATATGATTGGGCTTGCCACATACGAAACGATTACTCATGCTGCCAAGGTACACTTCCTGTTCCCCGGCTTGAGAAACGAATAATTTTGGAAGAATTAATTTCTTGAAAAACGAGTCACAGCGTTTCGAACCGATGTAAATGTGCATAGAATTAATATAATTATACAAAAACGATACATCACCTCGGAGGTGATTGAAATCTCAGTCCATTTACTTAACGAACTGTGATTCGTGCAAAGAAACTTGCATTAACGCCGGTTTAAAGGCAAGTAGTTATTATTAGATCCCTTAAAGGCCATCCAACTTGTGGCGGTTCTACTGTACAGCGGGTTATTTCGGTTCTAAATAATTCCACCGTGAACACAACTATTCCATTTCAAGGGCACAAACTCTAAAACTCTTAATTTTCTTAAGCGGGAATGTGGCGAGGCTGGATTTGTCGTAAATAGACTCGGGATTACATGCTACTTTTGATTAACATGTTGTGCAATACCTATTCAGGCCGCTACAAGGACCTAAGACCGTACAGGTTCTCGCCTACTATTAGTCTTAAGAAGTTTCTATCTTAATGCACTTTTCTCTCTTTTTTTTAATGAAAATAACTAAGATTACACGTTTAAAAACAAATAATCACTGTGCATATGTATATACTAAAAAAAATCGATGCAACGTTTTATGTATAATTATATAATTAATTAAAATGAACAGTAAATATTCTCCCAAATGTGTGAGGTGTTTGATCATTTTAAAGGGTCGCTTTACAATCAATTAAGACGATGTTGATTGAGAATGATTACTGCTATTAAGCGGCGCGACGATTGATAGAGATTCGTACAAGTGAGGCGAGAATTAGTACCTAATAGGTGTCAAATATTGTAACACATGCAATTCAATGACTGGTTGTTGCTACAAAGTGTGCATAATTATTTCTAACCGGGCTGAAATATATGAAAGTTGAAAACTTTTATGATAGAACAAGTTTTCTTTCCCTGTAATACATGTAGGTAGATTTTTTATAGTGATATGCACAGGTAAATACAGATGTAATCGAAAGTCGACGTATCGTTTCTAATTTGTTGGTACAGGCGATAAATTGAAAATGTTCCACTTTTATCATTCTGTCACAGCGTAATTATCACAATTCGAGGCGAGTCGAAAGTTTCCCTGAAGCGGCTGCAAATTTTGTGTACGCTTTATCACGGGCTTATCGATTTGTGATAACGAGGCGATAAACGTTAAATAACGTACCTCCTCTCCGTATTTCCACGTCATTTTGAACAAATTCTTAACGCCATTTATTTGACACAGAAACATTATCTATCATAAAAATGATCGTATCACCTTGTAAGAGCCACACAAATATTGTATGAAACGCAATGACTGTTTTAAAAACAAATAAATATAATGATATGCAATTGTGCAGTCAACAATATTGAAATGAAAATAATTACTGTATTATTACTGACCGGAAAAAATTATTGGTCGCGTTTATTTCGTAACGCGTTGCAACAATTATTTTAATTTCAATAGACTTGCGCTTGGTTTACACGCGATCTCAATTTACGGACGACAATATAGAAACTGCTCAAATGTTATCGTTTCCATCGAAATCGAATTTCGGTATTAATTACAAATCTTCGATTAAACATATCCCGCAAAACCGCAGCTCCGTTTATCTGTGATGCCGCGCCGTAAAAGGCAACGAATAAGCCGACACCTTAAACTACACAGAAATATGGAAGCAATTAGCGGGGCTTGTTACTCAACTGATCTTGGTTAACTCATGAAACTTCTCGGATCTTTCTAACACACGTGTCATGTACGTGTGTAAACTTTCACAAGGACTATGTATCTTTAACAGGGAAAACATTCGACGACGATAACTGTTGAATTAGCCCTAGCATGGAAAAATTAACGGTAGAAGAGACAAGTGAAACAGAGAAAAAATAAAATAACGAGACACTGCATATTGTTATAAGAAGTTATGCTTGCAGTGCAAGGAGAATGTTACCACAGATAAGTGGGAAAGTATCTTTTGCGAACATAAAAAAAGTAAAGACGTTTAATAAAGTTGTATTTATATAGCAAATGGGAAAAACTGAATTGTTTTTTATTTGTGGTTTAAATATCATGTTATATACATATAGGGTGACTAAAACAGTGTCTGCATCCACCTGTTTTAATGTCCTATAAATCTCATATATGAAGAGAACTTTTTACCCACTGTCTATCAATTTGAATAATCAATCAAACAGAAACGTAGATTTTTCTTCAGAGTAATCTGTCAAGGTGTATAAATGCATAATTATTTATATAGCGAATAATGTACAATGATGTAGCTATGGTGATAAACGAGGTAGAAATAACACATTTGCACTTTGGATTAATAATTACTTATGCCAACTCGATGAACACGGAAATAATTTAAGTCTGGGTAAATAATGAGCCTACTACTAAGGCAATTTAAATCTCCTCTTTTTTTTTACTAGGTAACATTATAAATAATCAGGTAGTATCAGAGTCCATAAATATTCATGTTAACAGTTATTGTTAGTGCTGGAGGAAGTGAAACGTGGAAGTGCGTGCGGTGTTCCCGTCCG